CTCCTAAATTTGGCTAGATCATTGGTTTGCTACAATTGATTTTGTGATAGTGTTTATAGATGCATCCACATTTATAGATCAAGCCAGCAATTGATTTTGTGTTAGTGGTTTGGAATAATTGATTATATGTACCCATATTTGCGTCAATTAATTATGCCTTGCAGAGTAGCATGAATTGCAGAAACACCTGCTTCCAAAGCCTCATGTCTATTTGGTTGTCTTAATTATTTGCCCATTAGCCAGGCCGACTGGATGCAGTCCCACACTGTCTAAATTTAGCTAGGCAGCATGTGGTACCCATGCAGTGGTGAAACCTTATGATATGTCAATGCAATTAAGCGCTCCACTCCATATATGTTCTGAAGCTTGTCTCTGATTCCCTATAACTCTTTCAGCGCATTGATTTGCATGCAGTTTGTCCATATAATATAACACCAGTGCATAGAATTGAAGTATCATATCTGCAATATAGAGAAAACCTCTTTCTGTTATGATTCGGTATAAACATATAGTATCTTAAGTGTTTTCATTTAGAACTGTTCATTGCTAATCACTGACAGTGTTCATTCCAATGCAGTATGTGATCATAATCATAACCAGAGGCAGCTGTTGGAACAACCAGGAGCAAAAAGACTACAAAGGTGTATACTCATAGATATTGTGATGTGCTGGCTGTTTGTGACACAACTAATGTTTCTCAATGATGCATTATTTTAGGGGAAAATAAAAATCATCTTCCATAGTAAAACATAAATCTAGAAGCTTATCTTGCCTGTGCATCAGTCAACCCTGTTCGCTTATGCTGAAATTTGGCTTAGGCTGAAATATTGTGAGAGAAAAACACTGTTCCATGGCTGAAAAGTAGTGCAATACTGTTCCTGGCTGAAAAGTAGTGCTGAATAAGCTTAAGTGAACAAAGCAATATAAATCCTAAAGTATGTACAGATAGTACACTCTACAGCTTTTGCCATTTGCATTTTTCTGATATGAATAGAAGATTTGTTTCCACTTGCATTTTTCTTCAGCTGAAAGTGTGATTCGATATTTTTAGCAAAGCTTGTGCCACTCAGCTGTACAAGAGTTTACCAGCGTCCGTCATGGGATGGAGAGAACACATAAAGAAGCATAAATAAAACATGATTAAAGTCTCGTTGGAAAAGTGTGTAAAGTCGTGGCTGTCAGAAAGGGACTAAAATTGAAACAAAGCCTATAACAAAAAGACAAGAAACAATGCACCAGCCGGGAATCGAACCCGGGTCTGTACCGTGGCAGGGTACTATTCTACCACTAGACCACTGGTGCTGTTCTGCTGATTTTTGAAATTAAATGATATTCACTTCATATATCGATGTATGTGTATCTTCCCTAAGAATTTTTTTTTGATAAGCCTAAGAAACTTTCTTTGATAATATAATAATAGTAATATCAAATACCGCTAGGTCAAAGAAAAATAGAAGCTCTATTTTTTCAACTTCGGGTCTGTTTGATATATACTCAACTTTCTAAATATATACGGAGTATACTCCATTTGTGCGTTAACATATGTTCAGTTTTATCACAAGAACTGGAGTCAATAATTCATGCCCTGCTTTCTGTATGAGTAGGACCAAATGACCTCTTTTGGTGCCAAGGAAACTTCATCCAAAAAGAGCTAGCTAGCATGGCTGTCAGGTTAGAGAATCACCCAAAACCTTTAATTGGTGATCCGATAGCGACAGCTACATGCCCTACAAAACTAACATCCTCTCAAGTCCGAATCAGTATGTAGCTTCCACCGGCAGGCCGGCGATGCTCCAAAATCTCAAATTCCTCTCCAAAAGAGTGGCTCTATTTTCATGCTTCATGGATCGTCGCTTCCTTTGCTATAGCGAAGGTTCCTGTTTCCGATCCCAGCATACATCATGCGTCACCATCGGCCGAAATTATTATGCTATATATGCAGTAATCTTGACCAATTGATGGCCACATATTCAGACCAATCAACAGGGAGATGCGCAATCTCTGGCCTCTGGCGGTATCGAAAACATGGCGAAGAAAAACGTATAGGCAGTAGTGTGTGAGATTCTGATTCTTGCTGGAGCCATACGATGAGTTTGTTTTGGGTGCATTTCTTTCAAAAAAAATTGTTTCTAATAATTTGAGTGATCAGGTATACGCACATTAGGCAGTCTTAAACTTTATTGTAGTCTTACTGTTATTTTCTACCTTAAACTATGAAATCAAGCAACAAACACCCTTCAATTATCAAAATCGCACAAATTCAGTCCTAGTGCTGGTTTTATAGGTTGGTTTCTATTCTATAAAAATAATAAAAATCTGATTTACTATCTAAAGATTCATAAATAATTTATTTTAAATCAAGAAAATATGAAACTAGTACCAACTTTTTTCTAAATAAGTAGTCTACTTGTTTATGATCTATATATATGTATTTAGAATTTATTGATTTCTGTTCGTATTGCTGTATGTATTGCTCGTAGTTGCACTCATTATTTATTTAAATGAAATAAGATCTGAATAACTCTAAAGATATCATTAAAGATAGATGATATTTTTCGAAGAAAACTAGAACTAGTTTCATAATTTTATGATTTAAAATAAATTGATTATGAATTTATAGATATCAAACTAGATTTTTTTATTATTAGAAAATAGAAAAAAAACACTTTTGAATCTAGCTAGAGGACCAAGTTTGTCCAGTTTCGGTAGATGTAGGGTGTGTTATATCCAGTTTTATAGTTCAAGGTTGAAAATCGGACTACAATATAAGTTGGAGGTTATTGAATATACTTATCCCAGTAATAATAAAGCCATAACATTTGAAACTGGGTTATTAGATCGAGATGCATCAGAAATAACTATATATACCTAGGCATAGATATGTTAGATCACAATCACACATCTGAAGGGTTCTAGACAAAGGCATTCCTTAGCAAACATGACAACGTGTTCCGCCAATAATTGCAAGGTATATGTTCCATTTTGGGTAGAAGGTCACTGTTTCCTATCTCAGTCCCACAGTCGACACACCCCCTCATCACCAAAGTTCTCAGATTCCATCAGCTTTCATCCTTTCTGGCTCAGCCAGCTATGCATGCAAAGGTCACGAGACTATCTGTTCATATAATGTGTGTTGATGCAATGATAAGTCCTTAAAGTTGTCCAATGCTTCTGATTATTTGTGGTTCTCATATGCTAAGGCTAACGGGCATATATAGGGAAGGTGGAGAGAAAACCTAGCTACTTTTGCAGTGGTTGTAGTTCTTATTTGGGAAATTGGGAGTCTGGGAAAATTAACTGGTCCTTCGATCCATTATTATATTATGTAACGGGTATTGTACTATTTCCTACTTCCTCCATTCTAAATTATAAGACATTTTAACTTTTCTTGACGCGTTTACTATATATATGCATCTAGATATAGTGTATATCTAAGCGTATATATAGCAAAAACTATGTAACGGAGGAAGTATGAAATTCCTATGATACTCAGTGGAACTCATGTATGTGTTTCTAGTTGACTTATGCGTGTTTTGCCAACTCTATTTGAGAAATATATATGCTTTGCAAACTGTCACTTCCACATACAGTTAGTTATGGCCGTCCGTTTTTATTGACTTACTCAAAGGTGCATGTACCCTAGAGTCCTAGGTATAAGAATATAAGATCTGTTAATTACAATACTCTTTCAGTGAAAAAAGATACACCAACGGTTTTGCGCTGCTCAGCTGCTGTCTCCTCTATCTGACTGCTGGTACAATCTTTTACTATAGTTGAGAAGAATCTCTTACTAACTTTTTTTTTAACGAACTGGCATGCATGAGACGAAAGCAAAGTCAAAAGCTATTTACAGAGATGATAGCCGAAGATTAGTCATAGGGGAGGCAAAGATCTGAATCTCTTACAAACTTTGAGAGCATCAATATATGGTGTGTGCACACCTTTAACTCGCCGCCTAAACTGAGCCAAGCACACACTTTTCACGTGAAAGAGAGTGGCATGACCAATGAGTAATTCGCCGTTGCTTTTTAAAAGGATAAAATAATGGAAAGGCATTCCAAAGAATGCCTATAAAGTCAAACTTTTAGCAGAAAATCACCTCATTCGAAAAAACAATATCAGTAGATGTAAAGATCACCCTCAATCGATCTTCCAAACCATGGAAATCGAAGCATATATACAAGTCTTTGTTTCTAAAAGGGCGAAAATTGTCAATAATCAGCTAGAGCTACATGAATTTGGATCATTTCCTAATTAACAAATGGAGGCAGTTTTTCTTGCCAATGAGGAATTTGACATATATGTCAAATCTAAGACAATCAGCTTGTTCGTTGGTTGGTTTCTGGGCTGATAAGCCTGGTTGGTGCTGGTTTATTGTGAAGGAAAATACTATACCATGACTAATAAGCCCTGGCTAAAACCAACAAGCGAACACGCTGAATGGATAGTTCCATCGGTTGGCATTTAAAGACGAACATTGCTTAGTTCACTAGGCTGGGCCGCTGCGGATCTAGATGACTCGAGATTGGTGCTAATAAGCAGAGAAGAATGTAGACAGATGCCTTTGAACAGGTTAGCAAGAGAATACATGATAGATCAGTAGCATCCTTTATTGAAATGGTCGGTCATATGCACCTTTATTTGGGACGAGAGCGCTTAGGCGGATCCACACATCTCCTTTCGAAAGCGAAAAAGTCCATTGCATATTAGAGTCTGGTTTACGAGATCAATACGTACTGTAGCAGCAACCAAGGTAGGAAGAATAACTCATCTAGATCGGCATCTTGTGATGGAAATAAATAAAGCCACCTTCCCATGAACAACGTAACCTAGCTAGCTCATAGGCATGCATGCCTGGCCACATATATAAGCCTGATTATACCCGATCCTTGGAGCTGGCACACTCCATTAGCCATCAAGTCTTGCAAGTTCAAGTGAATTAGTAGAATAGAAAGCTGTAGTGGCGGCCGCCGGCCGGCAAGCCAAGAGCTCGTAGCGCAATGGGAGGCGTGGCATCGGAGCTGGTGGGAGCCAGCAGGGAGAGGCAGAGCAGGAAGAGGAAGCAGTTCCACACGGTGGAGCTCAAGGTGAGGATGGACTGTGATGGCTGCGAGCTCAAGGTCAGGAACACCCTTGCCCGCGTGAGAGGTACGTATGCATTAATTTGTTGTTTTAATTTGCTTGAATCTTAATCTGTTGTCCTTCTTCAATTGATCTTGTAACCATGCATGGAGTAGACTATTTGTAGAATTTAATAAATGACGAGAGCCATCAAAATGTGCTTATAGTTGGCCTATGAGAGGATGAAAATAGGAGAACGTGGATTTGTATTTGTACTTGTACTAGAGTCATGCCAAGCATTTTGGTATGACGTGTATAGATCTTAATTACTGGTCACACCGTCCACGTAAATACTGGTTAATCGACCAGACACATATCAATGTGTCTGGCTCGATCACTTAACAGTTCACTACTAAAAAAAGAATTGCAAGAGATAGCTTCCATTGATTAACGCGTCGCCTCTTCTGGAAATAGTAAGGCGGGGCCAGGCAAAGGTCTACTAACCGTAGTAGTGTACCATGGTATTAAGCGTGATGAAATGTTTCTTGTCTAGTTCTTAAGAATTTAGATTTCTGCCTGTTGGTCCTAAAACTATGGGAATTGGGCGGTCAATCAAATCGATCTTTCATGTTTAACAATGTTCCCGTCAAAATCTATTATTGCAGCTCCCACTAGTATAGTATAGAAATGGTTTCTGTCAATGCTAAGAATTTTTCTACTAGCGGGTAATAAAGGACATGCGGCAGTAAAGATAGAACCGGGTTAGCTCGGTGTTAATCCTAAGGTTGTCTCGCCGTTGATGGAGCGTTCCCCTGGTCGGAGAGGAGGAAGATGACGGGATGTGGTGAAGGGGCTCTCGGTGCCCCTTCGTGGGTTGTCTTGCTCTCGGTGCTGAGCGGAGGCCAAGGAATGGAATGGAGTCGAATGATCTGTCTCCCCCCTTCTCCTAGGTCCGACCTTATCCCTTATATAACGAGATATGTCGGATACATGGCAGTTTGGGAGAACTAGTCGACGGTCTACATGTGCCGGAGTCCAGGAGGGCCTTGCAGCGGTGTCGTGGAGCCGAAGAAGCTTTGGGCGTCGTCCGGCTGCTCTGTTCTGACACTCTGCATGTCAGGCTGTATCGGCTTGGACCGGCCTCCCCCAGGTGGACATTCTGGAGTCTTCTTGGCGGTGAAGGAGGTCGGCTCCAGGGGCTGACGTGTGGGCCCGGGGGCCTCCGAGCCTCTGGAGGCCGTTAGAAAGCTTTGTCTTCTTATGTCACGCCCCGTGCGTGACCTTGTCGGAAAAGTGGTCGGCAATGCCGTGCCCAAGGGGCAGCGCCGGGGAGCCCCTGAGCCTCGGTAGCTCGGGGCGTGTTTTCTTACGCCCAGGCCTTGGCTGGCATGGTTTGTGGGGCAGAAGCCAAGGGCCAGGTAGAAGTGTAGTCGTGGGAGTCTCAGGGCTCGGACAAGCCCACGAGCCTCAAGCGGAGGTCGTGGCGGAGTCAGACTTGGCCGGATTTCTTCTCAGAGGGTGCCCACGAGCGTACCTGATGAGTATAACCCCCGAGCCCCCGAACGATCTTAGAGGGGTCGGTCGAGGGGTCTTCATCGTTCGGGAACCATTGGACCCGAGGCTTAACATACCCATATTGAAAGGATCAAGATGCCCAAGAGGGGGGGGGGTGAATTGGGCTAATTCTAAATTTTCTTGCAATAATCAAAACCTACGGATAGCCCAATTAACCCCTTGTGCCTAGAAAAGTGTTTATATCAAACTAATGCACAACAACCTCGTAACCTATGTTCCAAACTTACTCTAGCAAGCAATTCTATGGATGTGAAACAAGTATTGAATTGCTCAAAGTAAATACTCAAAGTAAGTGCTCAAAGTAAATAGAGAGAGAAAGGAACGCGACGATGTTTTGCCGAGGTATCGGAGAGTCGCCACTCCCCACTAGTCCTCGTTGGAGCACCCACGCAAGGGTGTAGCTCCCCCTTGATCCGCGCAAGGATCAAGTGCTCTCTACGGGTTGATTCTTCGACACTCCGTCGTGGCGAATCACCCAAAACCGCTCACAACTTGAGTTGGGTCACCCACAAGCTCCGCCGGGTGATCACCAAGCTCCCAATCACCACCAAGCCGTCTAGGTGATGGCGATCTCCAAGAGTAACAAGCACGAACTCTCACTTGACCACGCGAAGCCTAATGAGAAGATGGATGCACACTTGTCTACTCTTGATTCACTAATGAGGTTTCACTCTTGGATTCTCAAATCACAAACACCTCACTAGGACCTTGCTCTTCTTGGCACTCACAAACGTGTTTCTCAGCTGTTGGAATAAGCAAAAGTAACTCCACTCACGAGTGGAGCAACTATTTATAAGGCAGCCTGAAAAACGAACCGTTATGAGCTTCTGCGGGGTGACCGGACGCTCCGATCATTTTGACCGGACGCTCCGGTCAGTTCAACCTGCGCAACAATTTTCACGTGATGACCGGACGCTGTCAGGGTCCGGTCGGTACCGACCGGACGCGTCCGGTCGCTCTTGGATGCTTACTGTAAACGACCGGACGCTGGATACTCAGGGTCCGGTCACTACTGACCGGACGCGTCCGGTCACACTTTCTCAAGTCTGAACCCTTACTGGAGTCGACCGGACGCTGGCCTTCAGCGTCCGGTCACACGACCTTCCAGCGTCCGGTCACTCCAGACTTGTTCTCCTCAGTCAAATGAACTGATCGGACCCTGCGGCCAGCGTCCGGTCGCACCGGAGCCAGCGTCCGGTCAGTATTTGACCCTCCATTCACTTCCAACTTTCGATCATATGTGAATGAAGTTAGCTCCAAAGGATCTTAGGCATTCATAGGAGCTACCTAGAGCTAGTTTTAACAAGTGTGCACCACACCTAACTCACTAGACTCAACTAGGTCAAGCTACCCGTTCATACCCCCTTCATAATGCGGCCAAAGGAAAAACAAAGTCCTAAACTACTCTAAGTGTCTCTCCAACTTCAATTGACACTTAGAACTAGTTATCCTTAACCTTGTCGTCCATCCTTTGAAAACCGAAACGATTTCCATCGTGAGGGGCATGACAACCTCAATTGCCCAATCGATCTCCATTACCATGACCTAACTTAATTGCCTCTGCAAAAACACACGTTAGTCATAGTAATCTTGTATTGACATTAATCACGAAATCCACTAGGGGCCTAGATGCTTTCAATCTCCCCCTTTTGGTGATTGATGACAATACCACCTCGAGTATGTTAAAGAGTGAGGTTTTGAAGAAGGGCTTGGTTCATATAAGCTTTTGTCGTTAAGAACAAAAGAGTTAGACAAGCTTATATGACCCAAGCCAACACAGTGTACTCAAAGGATATGAATTAAGCATGAGTACAAGTAACAAAGCTCATTTGCTTCGAAGTATAAACGCGGAAGCAAAAACAAATGAGCATAACACAAGTGATATGACATATAGATAATGCAAAGTAGAAATCACACCTGTCAAATATCACAATCACGTAGATAGCACTATCACATATATATAATAGTATGCATTTAAGTAAACACACGAATGCATAAGTAATAGTGTATCACACAAATTAAACTCCAAATGTATATAATAAGCTAATACTATATAACTAGCTCCCCCTAAATGTAGCTCCCCCTGAGACTACATACTCGAACACCCTCTCCCCCTTTGGCGTCAAACACCAAAACCTAGGGCCGGGCTGCATGCAGGACGAGCCAATTTGCCAAGAACGGGGCAAGCTAGGCTGGGCACCATCATCATCGACCACGAGCTCTGAGCATCGACCCTCTGTGGCGGGAAGTGTCGCCAAGCGGTGCAGGTGCGAGCTAGAGCTGGGGCTGCCTGTGAAGCTGCAAGTATGTCTGTCGTAGGATCGGACGAGGCGACAGACGAGGGGAGCCTCTGAGTAGTCGCTGCGACTGGAGCTGCTGTAGATGGACCGGCGGTATGCATATGAGGCGGAGTAGGCATGCCGGTCAACTCGCTGAAGGATGCTCCAAGACTCTTGGAGACTGACGTCTCAGGTACGAATAGCGAGGAAGACTGCTCTGGTGTGAAGCCCGTCTGAAGTGGAGTGAACTGCGGGGCTACCACGGGTGAGGCTAACCATGGGACACCAGATAGGCGGTGAAGCAAACTAAGCTGGAGGCTGTCCTCGACTCTAGAGCCTTTGGGCTGTCTTCTTTGGAGTCGTCGAAGTGGTAGGAGGTTTGTGCAAGTCAGGGGCGAAGGTGGCAGTGGAACCCCAATGGTCGCTCACTACATGCCGCATGAATCCATGAGCGCTGCTTTGCATAAGTAATTCTTTGGTCTTTGAAGGAGCTGCCGCCTGGAACTCGCCCCTGACGAGCTCAAGCTGTCTTGAAGTTGGCAATTGTCTCTGTGCCTATCGTGGTTCGATCTCGCTGCATCCGCTCAAGAATAGCAATGAGAGCGGGTCTGCTCGGGGAGTGTGGAGCAGAATCGAGCTACCGGCCTCGCGATCGTGTCTGCGTGGAGGCATCTCGAGGTATAGGGTGGTAGTCGTCGTCGAGCTGTCATCAGTGCTCGCTCACCTCCTGCCAGTGCCTCTAGCTCCTCCTCCTCTCGGTGGCTACAATCCTCTCGATGATCTCATCTTGCTTTGAGCTGCGGACTCTCAGCACGTCGGGACGACGACTAGGCTGTCTGGGTGCACGAGGAGTGGTGTGTCCGATCCTCTGTGACAGGTTGTAAGCTGGGAACTCTATGGTGGCACTGTATACTCATCCATCATACCAGGGGCTTATCAAGCACTACTCTGCGGATAAGAAGCGTGATCCAAGGCGATAAGGAAGCTGCTGCGACCCTTGAATCCCTCAGCTATAGTGTCCTCCATCCATCTCGAAAGAAGGAGGTCCCAGATATCAAATCTTGTCTGCTTTGCATCGGGGCATTAAGAAGCCCGAGTTGTAAGCAGTCGGGGCCCTCTCTATATCCCAACCTAGGAAGCGGTGTCCTCCGATAATAGCCTCTAGCACTCTCATTTGTGGGAGTCAAGTCTTTGGGGTTCCTCCT